GAAACAAAGCCTTGTTTGGTCCTCCCCTTAGGACTTAGTGGTTAAATTTTCATATTTTCAAAATTCCGGTTTTTCTGGTCCAACTGCTTCTAATTTAACACATCATGTTAAAGCGGTGAGTGATGCTGCCTTTTTACCTAATTTAACCCCATTTGAATTAGTAACATTGGTCATTTTAGTATTTCTGGTGTAAAGATTAGCCATTAGGCTTCTAAATTTTAGGGATTATTTTTTTCACAAGTGTTTTTACTGTTCTCCTTTTTCCTCATGCTTTTCCTGCTGCTTTAGCTTAAACTCGCTAGCCACTAATGAGGAGCAGAAGGGGGCGAGTCTCTGTGATCGCCCCATTAAGAGTTCTCCTCACTTTAACCGCCCTCATCTCCTGAATCAAAAGTATTCTGGAGGAAATTACTTTTTATTTGTATTGTATTCAATTTTTTGGAAGGTTACTTCTTAATTTTAGCAATTAAATATTCTTGTTAGACTTCCATAAAGGTGACATCCATAGATCTACTGAGGCTGTGGTTTCCTAAAGCTCCTCCAGAGTTGCCTCCAGAGTTGTCTAAAGAATCAAAAAAGTTTTTGGCAGAAAAAGAGGTATTGATTGAAACAAAAACAAGAATTTTGGTAAAATATTCATCTTGACAACATTTACTTTGCCAATCAATGAAAGTGGGAGACTACGCCATCTTTGAATATCTGAATTTATCTTCGAAATAAGGGGGGTAAAATTAGCTGTTAGTAGGCCTGATAAGGAACGTGTCACATTTATACCCAGATATTTGAACCCAGATAAAGTAAGCTTAAAAGGTAAGTCGGATTGTTGGAGATCACAAGCAGCACTGTTTACAGGAAAGCACTCACTTTTCTCCATTTTTAATTTATAACCTGAAACAGAGTTTTATTTTTCCTAGAATACTTAAAATGATAGGTAGGGAAGAAGCAGGATCAGTTACATATAACAACAAATCATCTGCGTATAATGACAGTTTGTATTCAGTTGTATTAAGTGTTATCCCTCTGAATAAGGGAGAAGATCGTAATGTTATAGACAGAGGCTCTATAGCCATAGCAAAGAGTAAAGGCGATAGCGGACACCTTTGACGAGTTCGGGTTCACTGTATTAACCTTGTAAATGTTAGTGACTGTAGTAATTTCTAAACCATTAATGAAGGACTCCGACAACAGCTTGTCTTTAGCCGGCAGGCATATTTACTCAATTGTCCTTTACCGGGCACCATACATGTACACAACCCGCCTCTGGTACGGAACGCCCCGAGGGCCATAACACACCACAATGACTTTAAAAATAAGAGCAAAAATACTTAATAATGAATTTTTTTTTGTTTTTTAAAGTTTAATTTATTTGGGTACAATTTTTCTAATATCCAAATATCTGTCTGGAAATAGTGTCTTTGTTTTTCACGATTATTTACTAGAAAGAAAAGGAAGCAATGCATTTAGTTTTTGGTAAAGTAATGTCTGTTTCTATAGTTTTGCATTTGAGTTTTATTCCAATCATTATTCAACTAATCAGAGAAAAGCAGATGAGGACACACAGCCCTGAAAAACCACTTCAACTCTTATTTACTCTTAATGTTTGAAGTTTCTGTTAATAATTAACATATGAAATAAAAAAAAAAAACAACAGCCATTTTTAAGAACAATCTTTATTGTGCAGAAATGAAAAAGTACAGTTTAGGTTTGAAGAAGACATTTTGTTCACAAGCAGAAGGGGAGCTCTAGATAACCTGATGTTTTTCCTCTTTTTCAGGACATGTACCTGAACGCTGGTGGTGTGACTGTTTCCTTTTTCGAATGGCTGAAAATTCTAAACCAGGTCAGTTATGGAAGGCTGACGTTCAAGTACGAGAGGGACTCAAACTACCACCTTCTGAGTGAGTTCAAAATGCTCCCTGGTTCTAACATTACCTCCTGAACATGATTGGGGGGAAAAGAAGGTGTGTGAGATTTAATCAGTAAAAACTACATCAAAATTCATAGGAAGGAAAATAAACTCTTTCTTCTGAAGTTTATTTTTAAAGACATTCTTATTCTGCATTGATCATCAGGTTGATCAGTTTTGGTTTCTATCAGATGACTCGCTGGAGCTGATTTCTGATTCTTGAAGCAGTCCTTGCTTTTTAACGTGGATCAACAGCTTCTCCTTTCAAAATCACTCTAAACGTTCTCCAAAATCTTTCTCTTTTCTCCGCTTTGCCCTGTATGAGACATCTCCCAGTTGTTAGGAATAATTGAATGGTGCTTTCTTCTGTCTTCCATGTAACACAGACTTCTATAGTAAAACTTGGCTCTCCATAAGCTGCATTTAGTCTTTTGCGCCATGCTCCTACATCTTTGGTATAAAACAAAAATTTGTCTTCCTCTTCTCCAATGAGAGTGGCATACAGAGTTTCTGGATTGTCACTTAATTGTCGATCTCGTTGTCTTTTTCTTGCCCATTTGGAACCATCTTGATGAAACCGCCTGGGCCTCTACATTAAAAGGAAAAACAAGAGACATATTAGACGCACCCCAGCTACTTTGACATGAGGAAAAGCAGGTCAGGTGATATATTAGATTTTTTTTTAAACGGAGTTCGATTCATGTGGACTTAAAGTTTATTTAAAAGCTGCCTTAGAAGCTTCAGTTATTCAGGAATTGGATGCGTTTCCGTTCTCATAGATTGCAGCAAAAATTAGCTTCACTCACCTGTTCTTCCATGTTTTCCAGTTTTTGTTTCAGAGTATCTTATGCTGGTGAAGATTCTCAATCCATATTATTTCTGGAGGAAATTAGTTTTTATTTGTATTGTGTTCAATTTCTTTTGGAAACAAATAAAATGTTCATACAAAGGCAAGTGTTATTTCTTTAGACATTCCCCTCCTAGGACTCGTCAGAAATAAGGTGATGTGGAATCAAATCTGGGATCTTTTTACATGGAATCTCCATGCATGGATGCTTAGGATTTCACTGGATGCTTCAGCTTCCTCATAAATGCATTAATCTGGTGTTAGCATTTTTTCAGCCCTATGAGATCTAAAAAACACTGGTGTTTCTGAGGATCTGTGTTTTATTATCATTATTTTTTAAATATTGCAAAAAAATTGAGTTTCTGTGAAAAAATTGCTAGCGTAAAGTTCATTTTGGATGTAAATTATATGCAAGCCAAATATATATATGTATATGTTCCATTAAAGTAAATCAGTTATTTTAAGATCAGAGAATGATGTGAAAAACGACTGACCATCAGGAGCTATTTTTTAATTTAAATATGTGAATTTTAGTGACTGAAATCATTTTGACCAAGTGGTCTTGTCGTAGGTGCTGGTTTTGAATATTAGATGGTATTAAAGTAACTTAAATTAAATGAAAGTAATTAATTTGGAAATATATTAACAGCGACGGTAACAAAATAAACCTGAAGAACATAAAACATATTTTGCTTCCCTTGGAGCAAACAGATTATTTCCTCTAAGTATCTTTCAAAATGTGTCTAGCTTGTGCATATGGTTAATTTCAAGGGTTAGATTATTTTATCAAATTTTCCATCTCTTTTAGTAGTTTATTTCCTCTCTGTGTGCCTTTGATTGGCAGAGTCATTGGTTTCATTTTACTCTAAAATCAAAATGCCTGTTTTTCTTGTCCAACCTCTTCTAATTTTACACATCCTGTTAAAGCGATGAGTGATGCTGCCTAATCTGTAAAACAAGCACTTCCAGATTATTTGGATTGTTTTGAGACATTGTTGTTCAAACATTGCCAGACTCTCTGATTTATCTCTTTCTGAAAATCTTCCTGGAAAATGAAACTGAACCAGGCTTTGGACAGTTTCTGCTTTGAACAAGTTGTTTTCCAGACTGAGCTGTTTTCAATCCACCTTCCCATCAGCTGAGCTGCTCAGCTTCCCTGTTAATGAAACATATCCCCGTAGCATTACTGTGTCTCTACTTTGCTTCATGATAGGGATAAAGTGCTCAGTGTAACAATGTTTACCTCACATACTGTAGTATTTTGGTCTGATCTAACCAGAGCCTTACGTCTTCCACAGGGCTTATGTGGCAAACCATAGAAGTTACTTCTTAATTTTAGCAATTAAATATTCTTGTTAGACTTCCATAAAGGTGACAGCCATACTGTAGATCTACTGAAGCTGTGGTTTCCTAAAGCTCCTCCAGAGTTGCCAGGCTCTTCTTTGGTGCTTCTCTGATTAATGTTCTGTTTGCTTCTGCAAAGGAAATAAATATTCAAACCAAGTTTTTCTTCTTCCAGTCTGTTAAGCAACAAATCTTCCTTGTATTTCTACAGCCTGCTTGTGAACTGAAGCTCTCAAACAGGACACCAAATAAAGACGTTGACTCCACAGCTGGATTTCAACAAAACCTTTTTTTTTATTATTATTTCACATTTACCGTTTATAAAATCAGCGAGTTTGACATGATACCAACTTAAACACAGTGCGTGACTCGGGTTTGTCGTGTTTTGTGTGGTTGGACTTGTGTGTCTTTTTTTTTTCTGTGTTTGTGTGCCTGTGCATTTGAATGTGTGTGTCGTTCTTCTGTAAGGCATCATGCAGTCGTTGGTTTCTGTTGTCCTTCAAAATAAAAATATACACACGCTTTTCTGGTAAATCCTCTATTATGACTCACACATACACTTACGCACACTCCTAAAGCGCTGGGTGGATAATCAATGGTGTGATTCTCAGCTACAGGGGAAGGGGCTATCTGATTGGCCTAGACAGCAGAGAGGGGAGACATTCAGCGCAGATAAACACACAGAGCTTTGCTACAAGAAAAACTTAATTCCTTTCTTTTTGATGAATATTTTTACACTGATACATCGATGGTTTTTTGTTGCTGAAATCAGGACATGTATTACTAGAAATGAGGACTTGGTTTCTGCCATTTCAATGTGAAGCTTAGAAAATCCTGACCTCGATTTAATTCCTTTGGAAGATATGATCCAAGTTGATTCTTCCCCTCAAACAGTCAGGATTGAGGTAATATGAGGTTTTTTTGTTTTAATACAAAGGTCAAATTTACCTTGAAACAATTTTATTTTGCAGAAAGATTGAATGACAGGCCAGCACCAAGCTGATACCGGATCCAATAACTCCTGTTTTAATTATTTTTTATTAATTTTGATGCATGAAATTTAAATTGTTTAAATTGTTTTTTAAAGATTCTAGATACAATTGTTTATCATTGGTTTAAATTCTCAAGTAGAAACCAAACGGGCTTCTCATGTTTTCAGAAGATGTTAAACTTCTGATCCAACAGACGTCTTCGGTTCTGATGCCTTCATCTAAGCTGCAGTCAGAAGACCAAAGGCGGCCCAGTTCAGTTCAATATTTGGGTCATTGGCGCTGGAAGGCCCAAACTTGTCACCTAATGATGCCAACATGTGAGCTATTGTGGTCATAGGTTTCAAGCTAGGAATGATTATAAAATGGCTTAAGGTGACCAGTCAAAGTTTTTTCACCAGCCACCTGGAGCTCCAGAGGCTTTTGTTTATGTGCAAGTTTTCATTGAAACATTATTTACTTTAAAGGACAAATAAATTGTCCAAAGTTGCAGGGAAGCTTCCTTTTCACCCAAATCTAACCAGTAAGCAAAAATCTGATTGTGGAACGCTCAAAGATCTTTCCTCTTACCCACACTTTGCAGACACAAACACTTTACGGCATGGACAGGCTTCGGAAAATGCTCATGCATAACATCACGTTACACTTTGACCACTTCTACTGCGCTAACCCTGTTCCTAAATGCTGAAGCGAACATATACACACAAAGCTGCACTTTGCAACACAGAACAGCCATTCTATAGAGAACACCGTGGGGAACATCTGCTCATGCATTCTACTGTCACAAACTGAAGCACACATCTTTAATGCACATATCCCTGCTGACAACACATGCACACGAGCTTGAACTAAACACTTGGCCTGCAGCACACTCACACCCTCTCATGCAGCTCCTTAAGTTTCAGAATGACTAATTTTTCTTCAATTAGACAAGCCTCTCTTGTAATGTCCTACAGCTACTTGTTTGCCTGGTGTGTGGTCTGCTGGTATTTATGGTATGTATTGTTTGTGGGTGTGTCATGCTGGCACATTATTCCAGTTAGTCTCTCTCTGTGTTTGGGTAAGGGCGTTTGAAATTTCTCAGTCGGGTGGCAACGACAACAAGGGTTTATCTACACGAACACACAGGTGAGGCAAGGGTGCAACGAGGGAAGCAGAGGGAAAGCTACAGGGAACTAGACAGTGAGGAGAGAGGTGGCACGGGGAAGCAGAGGTGTTGCGTCTGGAAGAGTCTGTTCTGGTTTTGATTCCGAAAAGTCACAAAAAAAAAAATGTTGCTGAACAGCTGGAGTCTGGTACGGCGAGGCGAGGCGAGGAGGGCGAGGGGAAGCTGAAGGGTCCTGAAGAAGACTAGTAGCCCTAAAAAAGAAGAGATGTAGAATGAGAATGACAGAATCAATCGTGGTTAATGACAGACATATGTAGAGCTTTACCTGACAACTATCATTAGATTAGATTAGGTGTTGGAACATGTAGTAAACATATACAAAAGCATATTTATTTTCTTTTTTGTGTGATTCTTCAAAGAAGTACAGAGATAAAGAGATGTTACAATTCTTGATTTCAAAATCATTTGAATGTCTAAAAATAAATATCTAAAAATGTTTCTTTCCTGGCTTATTTTAATTAGTTACTTTTTCTCTAATTGAGCGTGGTCCAATCGTTTACATAAAAAAAGCTGTTTTACATGGTTTTTGTTGGTTCTTGTGAACTATTCCGGAACAAAGAACTGTTGATTTTAATAAACCTAAACTTAACTATAGGAATCCCTATACACCTGTACATTCAATAATGAATGAGACTCATATCAGGATGGTTTTACTACCATATTTAACAGTTTGTTCCATCTAATGAGCTACGTCTTGTGATTTCCATTTCCATTTCCATGTGACTTCCATGCATACTGCTGATAAAACAGTGACCTTTAGACCTGCAGTGTTTTATAAATGCATTAAATAAATAAAACCTACAAGACCAACTGAGTTCACTGAGTTCCTGCATCAGCCCAGTTGTGCTGTGATGCTCATAAAGGCACATATCAGCAGTTGTAATCACTCTAAAAGAAATATAACTTTTAGTACCAACTCAAATCAAGGTCAAGTGTTCTTTTTTTTTGCAGGTTTTGCCTCAGCAAGTTAAAACCATCTGCAAACTGAACCTTTGCGTCACAGAAGTTTACAATTAGAAAGGAAAGAAGTATATATTTAATCTATAAATGTATCTACTTCCCATACAGGACTTCCTGTTTAAGTTGTTGCTCATACTTGGCCGTCAGATAATATCCTCCTGTTTTCCTACCTCTCCTCCTTCGCCACCTTGCTCCATCCCTCCGTACTCTCCCTGTGGAAAAGAAAAAGGAAAACGGTTTCAAAAAGATACAAGAAAACTGCTTCATTATTAATATTATTATTATCTGCTTTGATAAAAGAATAAGTTAATGGCAGGTCAGAGTCTTGTCAGCATCACTAGGTGTTTAACTTCGACATGCTTGGAGGATCAAATCAGCGGTAAATAATGATAGGTTAAAGGATGCGTTAGCAATTAGCTAGATTTTTTTGTTTATGATGTAAAGCCTAAGTGGGGTATAATTGGTAGAAATGATTTACAGCATTGAGGTCAAACACGGCCGTATCTTTTATGTTTGATAGGAGATACAGGATTATAAATGACAGATTTAGCATCATCTAGTAAACTTACACCAAAGTGAGCAGCAGAAAGGAAGCTGAAAGAAGAATATGTCTTGCAAACATATTTATATGCCCAAAAGGATAGTATGCAGGTTTCCTCTCCCTCTCTACACATAAGAATCTAAGTTTTTATTTTGCAAAACTTTCGCTGTGTTTTACCTGGCAAGTCTTTTAGGGTATATTGTTAGTTAAGGGGTGTGGGCCAGAGAAAAACATTTTTCTATGATTGCTGTGTCACAATCATAGGATGTGAAAATGGTGTCTTAAAGCTACAGTGGAGGATTTTCGCTACTTTTTGAAGAGACCCACCCTCTCCACTTAAAAATAAAATGCACTTGCACAACCCTGTACTCGCTCCAGAGAGGGAACACCAATAAATGCGTGTGAGAGCATGCGTGAGCCCATTCTCCTCAAGCACGCTGTGTTTAAAAGTTAAGTGAAAATGGGGACGAGCACGTGGAACGGCCTTATGTAAATATATCACCAGAATGATTGACAATTAGAAGGACCACTTATTTTGATGATCCCCGTGGAAAAAGAAAATCCTCCACTATAACTTTAAGGCATAAAAAAAAAAAAAAAAGCTTTCTTCTTGCAGGTCTTCCAATATAGCCAGATATCAATCTATGACATATGGTTGTCCATTTAGGAGGTTCTTCCACAAGAGCTACGCATCGCTGATGCTCCTCCAGAGTAACATGGGTCATTCCCTTTCTCCCTGATAAATCCTCCTAATTTGGGTTGATAGTTAGGTCTTGGTAGGTTTGATTATTCTTTTGGGTCTCCTTTCATCCCTTCTGATGCTCACCTTTGTTGCTGAAAGCCAGTTATAAACCGTGGATATAAAATGCATTATATAATAAATCAAACCCATTTCAATGTATCAAGCAGCTGGCATGTTCCATGCAGAGCATTCCCTCCCTACCACCAAAAATGGTACATCTAAGACCCCCGCACTGCTTTACAATAGGTACCTCGTATATTGGCTCCTCCTATCCAGGAAAGACAAATGAGACACAAACAGCATAAAGAAACAAAAAACAAACAAACAAACAAACTATGAAACAAACACAGCAACAACAGATGGTTGTCATCTCACCCTTTCACCATTTTTACTTCCTCCGTGTTTGCACCCAGATTTTTGTGTCATCTGTCTTGCAGTGTTTTCATCTGTTCTCGCCTTTGAGATGCAATGTACATTTATTTTAAGCCCTCTATTACTATAGAAATAGTTTGGTGGATGTGGAATCTCTTTAAAATATGTTAAATAATTTGTACTGTCATTTTGTCTGTACTATATGAATGGCGGAACACAACTTATCTGGTTAATGAGTGTCTCCAAACTCTTCATTTATCCATAAGGGTGTCCTCTAGGGGTCCATAGTTGGGTCCTGTTTTTTCTACTAGCTATACAAGTTATGTTTCACTGTAAGTGGACAATACTTCAATCGCTGAAGATAACATCTGTCCCTTTGATTATCAGAGACCTGCCTACAAATATATGGAAAAGTTTAAGAAAATGTCTTTAACTCAAGGCTGATTGGAGTTTTTAATTAAATATTTTAATGTCTTTTATATATCTTTTATTGTGAGCATAAGACTAACAGAAGCATTTCTGTCATTAACCCATACAGGGACATTTTGAAGATGTATGTTTGAAAAATGATTGGTACAGTGTTTCTGCATTATTATCATAACTAAATCTACTGACTGTACTCACTTTTGTTTGGATGAAGGCATTCTATCTACGATTGTTAATTGAAACACCTGTAAATTCCTCGTGAGAAATTACAAAATCCAGAAAAAGTCTTTCTGGAACCACTCACCAGCAGCTATAAATTTAGACCAGACAGTGGTGAAAAAGCGTTTCACTTATTGTAAAAAGTTTAAGTGCTGTCGTCAATTTTGCTTTTTGTTTTATGGTATCTGTTTCAACTGGTTTTAAAGCAAAACTGTAACTTTTAGCAAGTGTTTGTTACAACGTTGTAGAAATAAATGGTATCCCTGTGTGTTTTGTATTATGATAGTTGACTGGACCAGCACACTTAGAAGCCATGGAATAACTAATAGATTAGACTAGTAGATCTAAAGCGTAGAAGGTCACCTTCACCCCTTTATATTAAATCCTTAATAAGAGAACCTAAAATATGTCGGTTCATGTCTGTTTTGTTGCATGACAACAAGTTTTACCTTATTTAGATCTCCTGTTCAAGGGGAGCTCAGACTGCTGTAAAGCAGTGATCTGGGTCCCATGACATAGGCAAGTTTTTGAGGAGGGGAGCCAAAACAGAGCATCAATATGCACCAAGTGCTGGATATACACCTGAAAAATGTATTTATATATTTCAAATTAATCTGATAAATTAATCTGATAATTGGTTCAGAAGTTATACACTGTTACTTTATTGTGGACATTTTTTGCTACCTTCTCATCCTGGATTACACCATAAAGGACTTGGTTTGTATTTTATAAAAAAAAAAAAAAAAAAAAAAAAAAGAATTCTGCTTATAGTCAAGAGTTAAGATGATGTTAATCTGACTCCAGTGGAAATCCTCGAACAGGGAATCCTTTAGTTGTTTTGGTTTGATGATCGCTCATAATCATGTCATTGGGTTATACAGTATTTCATAAGAGCTAACTGTCCCAAACAGGGATCAGAGTAACAATCAATGATTATATAACATGAACGTTTAAGACGAAGAAGTATATTTGACAAATTTAAAATCTAAAAAGTATGTTTGATAAAACTTAAAAACTTAGAGGAAATCTGATACACAGTGGTTGAGTAAATAAGTGTAAAATGGTTTTATTTTGTGTGTGGGTACAAACCCGGAAAGCAAATTGGCGAAGGGGTGAATTGATCGAAAGCACACAAACAACACAAGAGACAAAAGCAGTGGCACAACAAGAAACCAAAAAATCCTCTCACAATCAAGTGCAAAGGTCACAAGAGTTAAACATGAAAGAAATTAACAGATAAATTAACAGAAAACAGCAGGAAGTATGATCAGACTTCAGGAGTTGCAGAAGACACTTTGATTATAAGTTTATAACTTTAACTTTATTGTTGAACACCTTTGAGATGGAGAAATAAATGATAAATGACCAATATATGCGAAATTATATACATATATTCACATGTGTTGTGAATTGGCGCTATATAAATAAACTGAATTGAAATTATATTTTGTATCAATAAGATAAACACATTTCCTCCTGCTTCATGAATAACAAACAAATTCCCATTATGATTGAATATATCGATAAAATCTGAAGTTTCCATAAGTGTTGTAGGATGAGGAAAGGTAGATGAAAACTTAGATAATGGTCTAATCACAGCTCCACCTTAATAAATCTGATTATCATTATACTTTTTTCATAGCTCTGATTGAATTTTTTCAAAAACAAAAGCCTGAAGATTGTTAATTATTTGAATTACCAATAGGTATCAACTATTACAAATTAACCTCAGGACACTTAATTTTACTGCACTTCCATACCTGACTATTTGAGTTCATTTTCCATTTTGCACAATATTGTTCTTACTCATTTATGTTTCACAAAAATAGTTAATGTTGCAAACTTAGGCTTTATTCTGTATTTCTATTTATTAACAGGTGTTACTATATTTCTATTTTTAATTCTCTTTTTATCAGTGCGGAGAGCAAATAGGAATTTTATTGTAAAGGGGGATGTTTTTTTGTTTGTTTTTTTACAGTGCATAGAACAATAAAGCTCTTGATGTATTTACACACAGAGTTAAATATATTGCATCCATGAACTCACAAAAAAATGTGTTTGATTCTGGTTTACAGAATGAAAAAAGCCTAAACCCATATATGGCCTTCGATTCTGCAGGCTATTGTTTTCCCTGCTATTTATGTCTGCTAACAAATCTTTTCCTTCCACTCAACTTTCCTTTAATATGCTTGGATCTAGCGTTCTGTGAAAGTTTTCTTTTAGCAATGACCTGGCATACCCTCTACTGAGGATCCAAGTAACTCTCTGCTGAGTAACTGTCTTCTTTATGATTATGTTGGCCATAAGGTAATAAAAATATGTTTGTGAAGGAAATGGCTCCATCTAGTGGCTAAATACTAAACAGCAGCTCATAATCAACCAGTAGGTTCCTTCAAACTGATCAGCTCATGGCATAATCTCAAGTTGCTGTTGTTGTGCAGTCTTGAAGAACCCCCCCTATAAAATGACCTATGTGTTGTTACCATAGTAACTGACCTGACTGACCATCCCGGTTGATGCAGCGACGTTCTCAACCCCCTCGACGGTTGCCTGAGACACCTCGTTGGCTCCGGCCACTGCTGTGTCTCCGACGATGTTGGCCTGGTCCACGGTCCTGTTGGCCACTAACAGAGAGAAACCCGACAGAGATCAGAGCACCCTGAAGATGTCCAACTAACAAGCACAAAACAAACACTTATTTTCAACTGTTAGCTATATTCATGCTGAAACACGTTCTAGACCTCTTCATCTTTACATTATATACTGTGGAGTCAAGAAGCTGAGACAGAGGCGTTTCTTGCAAGAAATAATGTTTAAATTTATTTAACATCCTCAGACGGAGAGATTGGGCTCTGACTGGCCAAAGCTCAGTACATACATTTGTACCTTACAAAAATCCCAACACACACTTCCCCCAGGGGAACCAACCCACCCAGTGCATAAAGAACTTTCTCACACTTGAACATGCGGAGGAAAAACAACTTGAGTTCATCAAGACCATTCACTGTTGGGTTAATATATCTTTCACTGGACAGATGGATCTCCTCAAAACAACAGCCCTCCCCTTCATGCCATGAAGGAGAACATGTAACTCATTCTTATCTCTATCTCAAACAGAAAATCTCAAAGTTTTTTACTCCACAATACAAAAAACAAAAAGAAGAAATGCTGAAGAGAGGATCTGATGCTTAGAGAACCTGAAGCAATTCTAGTTAACTGAGGAGTTCCTCACCTGGATCCTTGGATGTCATCTTAAAAGCTGGCAAACTACTGAGAACAGTAGATCGTTTATTAGCAGCTTGATTGATCATGGTCAATATTTAAAAAAAAAGTGTTGACTAAAATAATACATAACATATACAGACAGATGCACTTTCCATTACCTTTCCTAACTATACAAGTTAGCTAATGTTGTCCTTAATGATCTTTCCACATTTCAAACAAATTAGATTTGATTATTATTGACTCAGCTTATATATATATCAAGTCAATAATTTAAAGTTTAATGGAAAAGGGGTGGTTGTCCTAATTTAATAATTATTGGCAGCTCATATGGAGTTAGGCAACAGGCTCCAGAATGCCTCGGAAGTAATCGAGGATAGGTTCCCATCTAGATGCAGTAAAAGCAGGACGTTTCTCCCTGTATTCCTGTTTTTTGATTCTAAACACTAATTTCTCTTACTTTACACATGGAGCTGCTGTGGACTTCATAGACCTTTAGGGCTTGCAGATGGACACTGCAATAGGGAAAATGTGTATCTTGACTTTAATGTTAATCCTGAACTGTTCTGCAAGGTTTCCTATTTTTCTATCCATTGGATAAACCTGTGTTTCAATCCACAGTGCAATCTCGTAAATGTCATGCTTCATCATGGCAGCTATGCTTAAAGGAACATACAGGAAAGCTTCTTAGAAATGTTTGGCTGGAGCTCTCACCTTTGCTTTCTCTGGTCCATGTTCAGTGAGCTGCAAACAATGCAGCATGTTTGCTCCATTTTAATAGACTAAATGGAGATAAAAATACTAAAGGCAACTTTGATATGAATTATGGTTAAATCCACCTTAATTCATAAAAAGAAAAACTTTTATTGATCCCAAAGAGGAAAATAATTCTGTTGCAACAATTGTGTTTTTGTTCTGAAGAGATATTTACCTCCTCAAACACCTTGACTTCATCTCCCATGAAGGTAATGGTGTTTCACCTGTTACCCTTTCTTCTGTCTAAAGCTAAATAATTTTCCTTGTGTTATTTACACTTGGGCTGAGGTGACAGGTTCCAAAAAATCACAAAAAGTGCTTAATCAACAAACCAAAAATAAATAGATTAAAAAAAAAAAACTGCAGTGCAAGCCTTTGTGAAGTACAATAGATCTGCCCAGACTGTTGTAAAATATGCAATAGATAACTTCTGTTTCCCTCTTCTATTATTTACATTTGATCATATATAATATATACCACATTCATGTCTGCAGGTGCAGTGGTATAAAATTACACCATAGCTCTGTGATAGTGGAATTCATGCATTTGTGCTTCACTTTAAAAGTTGGCAAGTTCTGCCTTTAAGGTTTTCAAACCTTCGAATGAGTGATTGGAAATATTCAGGGAGAAGAAAAAGCCTTCTGGAATTTATAATTGCCTAATTAATCACCATCTTCCGTTCAAATAGGCTCTTATTTGGGATTTACCAGCTTTCAAATCAAGTGTTTTTACAAAGTGGACACATGTATGTTGGTATGAAAGCAGTCAGAGCATCCTTTTTCATCAAAGCTTATGTTGAATTTTGTAAAATATTGATTTGTCCAAATGTAGACAGCAAAAACAGGCATGAGAGCGAACAGCTTCAGAATGCCAGCTTTAGTTTTTCACTGAGAGACACAACCGATATATGGTGCCATATTTTGATGCTTCAATTTTTTCTTTATAAAATAACCTGAGAAAATGATCAATTGTTATTTCATTACATAGTTGATAAAAATATCTTTAAACTTTAACTGACATCTGGAGGTCGGTGCTAGCCAGTAAAGGGCGCTTTTCTTACCTGTGTTTACCGATGACACAACACCTTCCTTTGTCTTGTTCCCTGCAGACAAAAGAAAACCAAAATTACGGCCCTCTATAAAACTTCTTCACTCTGTGAGAAAATTCACATTTCACAATTTCTTATTGATTTTCTTCAAAGAAGAAATGTTTTCGGACTTCTTCTTTTTTTTTTTCCAACTTCTATTCTTTAACAAAACAAGCTAAATACTTTCACCTAAACAATGAGCTTTTATTTGGGGTTTGCTTGTAAAATATTAGGAGGATTGAATGAAATACGGAGTTTTGAAAAGGCTTTTCAACATTTTTAAACTATTACACTCACACATCTTGTAGTGTTTCATTATGGTTAATGTAATAGACCAGTACAAAGTGGTATCTGTGACAGGGGAGGAAAAACTGCTATTAATTAAGTGAACTATGAAATAAGTTTATATTTATTCTGATCTGACAAGATCAGATGCAGCAATTGAGTTGATCTATTCCCACTATCATTGCATACATGGGAGAAGAAGACCTGTCAGCCAGGCCAACAATTCCCTTCAACGACCCCCCTTTCTGAGACTTAGACAGGTATGGGGCATTGCATACTAACAAAAGAAGCTAAATGACCCCCACTCCAGAGGGGTGGTTCAGTTAGTCAGTTTGCATGTTTTCTAAACAAAAACAAGGCTTTGATGGGCTAGATCAGGGGTCTTCAACGTTTTCCAGGCCAAGGACCCCCAAACGGATAGTAAGATGGAGTGGGGACCCCCTAATTCTATATACTGTATGAAATTATTTTATATCAAACTGGTCCTATAGTCACTCTATTACATATGGAGTAATGTAATGAAAGTAATTTCACCCCTGAATTATTAAAGTATTTCTGATTCTGATTCCTGGTTGATAGGACAGGTGTTGTGAATAAAACGGTGTGCAGCTTGAAAGAGCTCCTGTGTGCCGCTGAATGTGTGCATTGATGACTGAAAGACATCTACTCCATCCATTTATCTGTTTACTACAGTGTGTTGAATTCAAGTTAATGTGTATTTAAAGAAATTTTAATTAGTGGAAAAAATTGCAGCGAGGAATTAAAAAAAAAATAAAAAATTGTAATCAACCAAAACTTTCATGACCCCCATGCAGTACATCTGCGGACCCCTTAGGAGTTGCGGACCCCCTGTTGAAGACCTCTGGGCTAGATTATACAACCTCGAACTCAACGCTATTCCTAACATTTGGAAGTGAAAAAGCTTCCTGGATAGGAAGCGTAAGCGTTTTTGGAATGATCTGACAAGATCACCTTTTTCCTCATTTGCTGCATCCCTAAGATTGCCTTCAGCAACCTTCAAGCAGGACTTCTTGTATTCTTTTCCCATATTCTGTAGAGATAACCACTAATAGTTGTCCTGTTGACACAAACTTTCAGCTGAGCTGATGGTATCTGGAGGACTTTCTCTCTACAAACCTCCAGAGATACTATGAACCTCCTGATCAATATGCAGTTTGTTCACTGATATTATTTAATGAGCCTCTAAGATCTTTGTTGAAAAGGTGTCTTTATATTTACATTATGTTAAAATCAGGTGGAGTCTGTTTGCTACTCAGGGGACCTCCTCAGGCTTTTGTTTACTGGTACCAGAGATAATGGGCCTTGCTCAAATTGCACTTTTAAGAGTTTTTTTCCTAAAACATTAAAACAATAAATGTATAATTTTCATTGCTTATGTGACAAAAAGAGGAAAGAATTAAACAGCCATGAATTATTTTTTAATCAATTATCTGTTTGCTCACCATTTTTAACCCTTTTTTCTTTTGGATGCATCATTTACTTTTAAATTACTTTAATTTATTTTTTAGATGGGATGTATTGGACGTTCTACATTTTTTAGAAACGCTTTGATGACCTAATAAATTCCTAAACAATTAAAAACCAGCCCACTCCCCTCCCCCCAGCTCTGTGCTCACTGCAGCATGATCCCAAACAGATTAAATTCTTGTTATATAATCTACAGAAGGAAAGGATGGATGGAGGGAAATATCCACTCTAAAAGATCAGAGGCAACAGTTAAAGGAAGAGAAAATATGCAGAACAGTCGGCAGCAGTACCATCCTGAGCTCTCTCTCCCTGTGGATTGTCAGAGCAGATGCAGAACCTGTGATGGGACTGCCTCATGCCTCCATACCACATTCTCCCTGCTGCCTGTTCCCCTTCTGACTCTCTGCACGCTCTCAGAGGTATACCATCCACGTGCCTGAGTACGAAGCAGTACCGCAGAACACCACACACACACTTCCTAGTGAAACAGATGTTTTTTTTTTGTGCTCATTTTAACTAAAGGAGCCCCATGAGTGCCATGGCACACTGTCCGTCACCACAGAACAAAATGTACCGCTGACTGACTGTTCTGATCTTTTAAATTATAAAGACGAACTAGATCTAAGGAGGAATTGGCACACTGAACACGGCAGATCAGAGCAAGACACAATCCAAACATAAATGGTCATTTAAATTTGAATAAGGTTGTTTGGATTACATGGAATATTATTGGAAATATCCATATATAACATGCAAATATTGAGCTCTAATATTTGTTTTTCCATCAGTAGATTTACTCTATATTTCTCTTAATTTATTAAAGTTGTGACAGGTCCAATAAAACATTTGAGAAAAATCTAACGAAAATATTGTATGTAATGGTCATTTGGATCTTTTATTAAAATGAAAAACATACTTTGTCATCCTTTGAAAAACGTTGTTAGTCAGTGGAAGCTCTTGATAAGATGACGCTTCTTCTTCTGCATCCCACACATTTTTTGTCATGCAAATACCCCAAAAAGCTGTTAGGATCCCTTTTTTGTGTCTTTAGGTTTATTATGTTTGGTTTCTATCTTATGTTTAACTTGTGTATTCGTTTACATTTTCAGCTGATGTATTAGAAAAGATTGAATTAACTGCAATTTATGGCTATTTTATAATTATGCAATGATAGTTTAATAGGTTATACAGTAATACCTTAAGCAACTGTCCCACTGTTTCAATTTGCTACCTTGGTGTAAATCTGAGGAAATTAAATGGATTTTATGAAAACTTCAAGCCCTGACATCTCAGAAACAAACATGTTGCATTTGATCTGCTCCACTCTGAATAGTGCAGGTGTATTAGGAATAAAGGTGTGAAGTTCACAGTGTTCTCCAGTATTCATGAACGCCACCTCAAAAGTTAATGACTCAGCTAAATTCATCAGATACTGTAAGTTATACAGTCAGTTTTCACTCTGCATGTGAGTTTCTACTAGACCTTAAACAAAAGACAGAAATGCAATATGATGATGGTGCACTGCAGTAGAGACACCATGCAGAACACTGGGCTGCACTGACCCCCTTTTGAGGGGGTAATTGGATCAAGCAGTGGATATCTTTAAAATAGATGCTGAAGGGTTCAGCTGCAGCCAAGGCTGTACCTCTGCAGCCCGCTAGTGCTTCATACTGTCTATTTGCATACCGATGCCTGTGCACTGGACTGGAGGTGGATACAGTCATCTTCATCAGACACATTTACCCTCCTCACTTCAGCAAGCGTATCTTTTCTCCCTCTTTATACCCTTCCTGCCCTCCCAACCCTCTTTTTATCAAGTGGTATATATATTTTTTTATATTTCTGCATGTTGGTTTAAAAAAAATGGATTTCGCAGACAGATTCGACCACAGCTGACAAATTCAGTTCATTTTGAAGAAAGGGCAGGATAAGATGGCGAACACCTTATTCCCCTCATCCTGCAGGCTCCTGCTTTAGGATACCACCTTGATTATAATTTTGAAGTCCCAATTTAACATAAGATAAGATGCAGAAGGAAAGGACTGCGGCCATCAAATAAGACTACCTCTTAACCCTCTGATTCACCGTCCCTCTTTCCAATCTCCCCTCCCCTCCTCTCTGATGGTAACCTTGAGATGTGACGCAGTCTCTGCTGGAGCTAAAATTAAAAGCACAGGAAACGGCAGCATGGTTGCAATTATTTTTTTCTTTTTCTGCAAAACCTGTTTAAATTATCAATAGTTTTGTAGGATAGCCTAATAAAGCAACATTCAGTTACACGTTTAATATCTTCCCACCGTCTCACTTGATTGATTGTAAATTCTGGTGATGTAGTAAAAGCCAGTAGCACTGTCCCAGGACTCCTCTGTATCTGCTTTTCTTTTTCTCATATCCTTTTTTAATTTTCTGTTTCTATGTAACCCACCAGTTTTCCTGCTACAGCCTCTTTACCCTCTCTGATTGTTTCATCGTCACTTTTTGAAACCCCACACCCTGTGTCCTGCACCAGTCCTGCAGCAGTATCCTGACAGTGCTCATTTCTGCTACCTCCTACCTACTCCTCCCTCGTTTCTATCCACATAGAAAACCAATGTAAGAAAAAATGCTTAAAACGATTGCAGATCAAACCAATAATCGAACCCTTCAACTTCTCTAAAAGGTTTTTTTTTTTCCATGGTACATACCTACATACATCACCCCTTCTTTGGTTTTGGCTGCTGCCTCCTCCATCCCTGCTTTGGTCTTCTCTGCAGCAGCTACCACACCCTCCTTGGCCATAGAGAACCCTTTCATAAATACATCCATGGTGGGCAATGAATTGGCTGGGGTCCCCTGCTCAGAACAGGCCTGGCTAGTGCTTACAGTGAGCGTGCGGAAGAGATGATAATGATGGTGATGATGTGGGATGTCAGAGAGTGTGCGCGTGCCTTTTTTTCTTTTTAGCTCCTCCTCTTGTTGGTGCTACAGCAGAGCTCTAAACGCAGTGCACAGCAAGGCCACAGCATGCAGACTGAAAATGAGAGGGGAGGAGGAGAGAGCCAATATGGAGATGGAGAAAAGAGGAGGAGGAGGAGAGACGGCTGGATGCTGCAGCATTTTCTCCATGCAGCATCCCCGCCTCTACAACCACCTCTCAATTCTTATTTTCAAGTTATGACCAGCTTAGCCTCTAAAGCTCAATATTGACTGACTTGTCTGAATGCAAAGCCACATATTACATAACAGCCAACCAGCTGACATTTTGTCATGTAATCTTAACACGTGATGTCACTTCCTCCCTTTTGCTCATCAGTGTTTGCTCTGCATAATTCTGGTCCATCACCAACCTTAGTGGAGCAAGTTACATTTGATTTATATAGAAAAAAAAAGGACCCAAAGATGTTTTTGTTGTTGTGAAGGAATCAAGAAGTGCTTCGTCATCTCCACCTGAATGAGTCACAGCCACCTTTCTCCTCCTCTTCCCCCTCCTTCATCTGTCTCACACCGACATGCTGACTCGACAGCATTGCAGCTCTGAGAGGACACTGATCCAACTGATCAGGTTTTGTGTCATCGGATTTGAAGATTGAGTGACAAAAGGAAGAATGTATCTGTTACAGAATAGAACCTCCTGATGAGACTGTTTTTTTTTGCAATTACTGTCATTTTAATGTTGATTAAAATGACAGCTGTGATATTTGTGACCACATTGTTTTTAAACACGTCATCGTGACACAGCATTGTAGCAGAGATCAGCCTCCTACGGAAAACCCAGTAGACAACAAAACCACACAAAACAATTTACATAACTAAACTTTTTAATACATGGTTACCCTAATATAACACATTGTGTTTTGCCAAGTCAGTACCTTGTAGCACTGCCTTTTACCACAGTTACAGCTAAAAGTCCTCGGGACACACCTAAAAACTAAAATACTGAAATGCAGTCAGACTAGATGGAGTGAAAATGACCTTTTTAGGTCTTGCTGTCATGATTTTAGCACTGATGACTGGATTATTGACTTGATTCTTCCACCTGCTTAGCTCCACCTAGTTTTCATTATCACTCATCTGAACCACCTGTTCCAGTTCCTTTTTAAGCTGCTTGGTTCCAACCATTAGTGCGAGATTATTGAGCCGTAGGTGAGAGTTCTCTAGTATACACCAGTGTGTTTATTTTGATTGCCTTTCCCTGACTAGTTTCTGCTCCTGTAATGCTAAGCCTACCTGCCCCTGTTCTGATCTTTTTGTCTGATTTGTCTTGGGACTCCAATTGAATTCTGGCTGCTAACAACGTTGGATCTGTCTCCCGAACCCGACTTGGATTTCCCTTCAGTGTCTCTTCTGATCTCTGATCTTCTGGCCTGGACTTCTGCTTACTCATTGATGCCGGCTACCAATTCTCTTTTTGGATTCTTCTAATCCTCCTTGTCAGCTGACCTCTGCTCGTCGGTCTGCTCTACAGCACCTTTGGCTTCTACTCCTGGAACTTTCTGGGCGGCTTCCGCCGCATGCTGTTTAAAATCAGCCGGCTGGATTCTATTCCTTCCTCTGGGTTTGGACTGACTTAATAACCAGGTTAATAACTCAAATGCTTGCTATAATTCCCTGTCAGAGTTACGTGGTCACTAACCTGTGTTACTCCCTCTACAGATTCCGAGACGCAGAACTCTGAGCATTTAATGAATGCTTTTTATGAATCACTTCAGTCTGTCTGCCTAAATTATGGGTCCAATGTTCTGAGTCTTGACACTTGCTACAGAATTATTCTTTGCTTTATGTCTGGACTTTGACTGCTCAACTCTAACTCAGGAATACACTTTAACCTAAACTGTTCCATTGTAACTGTGGCTAAATATTTAGGGATGTTTTCCTGCCTTTAGCTGGTTTTCTTCTACCATCACTGTTAAGCAGATGAGATGCATCCCCACAGCATGATGCTGTCACCATCGTCTTTCACACTGCGGATGATGTTTTCTGGGTGGTATATCCCAAGTTTTTAATCCAGTTCATAAAGTTCAGTTGTAGTCTGACCAGATCTGCTTTTTGCAGCTTTTGAAAGTGACTTCTTATGACTCTCTCTCAGCAACTACTTTATTTTTGCCTCCTCTTCCACAAGGGCAACATTTGTGGTAGCCAATGGTTGCTCCATAAAAACAGATCCTCTGCTCTGTGCTTTCATTTTTTGTGTGCGTTATGTCAAACCCCCACACCTTTATGTAGAGTTAATAAAACATTTATTCACATTGATATCAGTACATTTCCGAGTGCATTTTTACATACTGTTCTTGTGCATATAGATAAACTGTGTATTCCTCTTGCTGTCACATCTGACAAACATGCTCATACAGTCTTTTTTTTATTCATAAATCTTCAATTTATCTCCAGGAGCAACAAAAAAAAAAAAAAAAAAAAAGAAAAAAATAGCATTTGAATATTTGTTTTCTTTTGTACATTTTCCCTTTAATCTAAGAGAACTCCAATAATCAGGACATTAAAAGAAAGAACCTAAACATGAGAGAAGGTCTGAATAGTCGGCAGATATATTGACACCTGAAACTTATAAACACATAGCGTTCTCATACTAACATGTATGCATATTAATACATTTTTAACTAATCTAGGCAACAGCTATAGCTCACTCTCCTGGGAAGTTTCTCTCTTCATTTTCCCTCATAATTTAACTTCACCTCCTGTTCACTCCTTGGATTCTTCCCATGTTTACATGTCCTCCTTCCTTCTGTTACTTCCCTCGCTTTGATACACCTCTCCTCCATTTTACTGGATATTGAGGATCTGTGCAGACAATCCGTTGTGCCAGTTCTTCAACTTGGCGAAGCGCGGCCCCTTGACCTCTGACTCAAACCGCTCTCTGTTGGTGAGGATGACAGCAGAAGGCAGTGATGTCAGGGAAAAGGGTTTACGTTATCATCATCCTCTGATAAAAAGGCATGCTTCAGCTTCTGTTCTAACTTTGCATGTTGGTTCTTATTTCTATAAAATCTGATCATTTAAAAAAAATCATAGTGTATTGGTATGCAGCATTCCCAAATGTCTTTAAATTTTACCCATTCTGTTCGATATGTTTCTACATGACCTTTAAAAGGGACAAGAGAGTAATACTATAATAAAAATGTCCCCTCTGCACATTTCCAATACTGCAGCATGGAGGTTACTTAGCAGAGGTCATGTGCATACAGTTCATGGTATGAGTGCAGCAACATTGTAAAATTAAAACCTTAAATTGTTAAAAATACAGGAGAATTGTGCCCTAAACTGTATGCATTGGGTCAAATGTTGTATCCTTTCATAAGCTTCTAACAATATTTACTTGAATTATGACCCGCTCCTACTGAAAGACCTAGTTTCACAAATATTGGCACTTTGTGATGCTCCAAAAACTCACTTTGTCATCTTCAAACCATTTGGTGCCGTTAATAGTTTCACTTTCCATGTTAAAGACCCAATTGTGACCAAGATTAAGATGTTGTTTCAATATTTCCACTCATCACCATCATGTCTTCTGTGATGTGAAGTGCACCAGTCTCTCATTTTTTGCAATTTATGTTACTTTTAGCGTAATTACTTCTTCCTTTAGAGTTAATTTTGTACAGGACTCATTGTATAGCTGATAACATACTTATATTGCTCTCTCTTAAACTAGCGTCATATGCCAAACATAACATCTTATTAGAAAAATAACCTTTCTAATAGACAATGTTTTTGTAATTTTAACTGTCTAAAAACAGACGTCCAACAGTAGGAAATAAAGGTGGATTATTTTTTTATACAAGGCATGTTAAAAATTATGAGATGGTTTCAGGTTACCCTGTGATTCAACATTTAGTAATTAGATCGACCAACAGCAGGAAAATAAGAAGAAATATTTTTCAGTTTGAATCTAGGTAGTTTTTTGCCACCCGCTCTCTACAACATTGCTCTAGATTATTAAAATTTGCTGAAATTTACAGCCTCTTCAAGGTTCTAGAGGCAATGTTTAATCAGGCTGTGGTCAGGGCTTTGTATGGACCATAACTGAAGTATCAGTTTAATTTTTAAACTTTTGGTTGTAGATTTGAAACTGTGCTTTGGATCATTTTCTAGTTGACAACCGACAAATGCCATTTTATCTGACTGCTATATACTGTATTATACCGAGGAGCTTAATGGATAGTGCACAGGAACTGAGGTGGAAAACAAGCACAAACCATCCCACTATTACCACCGTGCTTGACAACTGGTTTTGTTTAAATAAAAAAACCCTCTAAACTTCACCTTGATTTCTGCAGCGCTTCCTCATCTGGATCTTGCACTGTGAAGAGAAAAGTACAGAGCAGGATTTAAAGGCCCAGAAATGCAGTGAAAATACAAATGTAGAGTAGAGAGGAAAGAAATATGCCAGGGCAAAGATTCGGCGGCGCCAGGGTACTGACTGTATTCAGTGCCAGTGATATGAGCTAGCATCCTGAAGCTTTTCGATTGCAAGTTGGCAGCACGGCGAGCCCACTCAGACATGTCCTGGTTTTTGTCTGCTGGCCTGATCACTGCTTGGTAGACAGGAGAAGCACAGTCCACCACTGGCTCCTTGATTGGGAGAACTCCACTGCAAGAATGAGATGATGCTTAGTCATACAAAGATGTAACATCTTCAAAATAGATTTATAGATATAGATTTATATTAGCTTTCTAATCCCAAAGGGACATTTTTGTAAATGTGGTTCAGAATATGTATTGCTTAGTATTAGTTATTGCTCACTAGGGGGCACCAATGATCTGTTTTACATCTCAAGGAGGTCAAATAATACCTATCTGCTTTGGAAGCCAGAATCTAATTGAATAATAGAGTAAAAGTGTGCTATAATTTTTTATTTGGTATGTTATATTAATAAGATACAAAGTCAAATATGTGACCCTGCCTATGAAAACCCAGCTAAAGTCATTTTTTGGTGAATCTCAACTTAATGTATAAAACCATTCTACACAATGTTAAGAATGTATTCTGAAAAATTCAGAGATTCACCAAAAAATGACTTTAGCTGGGTTTTCATAGGCAGGGTCACATATGATTATGAGGATCTGTGTCAAAATTTTGACATTGAAAATCAATTGTTTTGTGACTGAACTCATGATTATACAATTTAATGAGAGTTTTCTGTAAAACACTTCAACTGCACCACAAAACATTGCTACCAAAAATGCTGTCCAGTAACATTATGTTTGCTAAAGCAGGACTTTATTCAATCTACTGACATAAAAATCTATTAATTTTCCTTTTTTGCTCTGTTACACATGGATAGATGCAGGTTTCTTGCAGTAAAAAAATTCAAAGCAGCATGACTAGAGCCCATTTCACAATCTCCAGAGGGTACTTGGTCATAACCTTCCAGTTCTATTAAATCACATTGGCAATGCTAAACATCTTAAACAAAAGCTGCAGTTTCAGACAAAGCTCAAAATACTTGAGAGGATGCCCTTAAAGGCTCAGATTTGGATGGTTTGTGCTTCAAACACATCTATACACAGCTTATTATGAACATATAAAAGCACTTACATAATGAAGTGAATAAAATGAAGGTGTAGGATTCATGGAGCGATTAGTTTATAGGCCATCTGAAGCAATGCACATGCTGCTACAGCACAAAGAAGCTGAGTCTGAGGAGAACGGAAAATTGATGCTGTTGTACTCACGCCAAAGGAGAACCGGCCTCCTCGCTGGGGCCATGTTGGGGAAGGACGGATGGGGTGGGATGTTTGGAGGACAGATCATAGAACAGGTTGGTTTGTTTGATAGAATGAAGAAAGGAAAGTGGGTGAAATGCAAATATGAGTATATGGCACAGATACCGACAAGCCTAAAAGGGATTATGTGATTCTGTTTGTATGGTATTGATCTGGTCCAAATATGATCACTACATAGAAATGTGTGCAACTACTATTTGGCAAAGTTTTCTTTATTATTATTGTGCAGTTATTCTACATAAATAAGTAGTTAAGGCATCTGATCAGGATCAGCAACATTGAGCAGGAGAGGGTTATTGGGCAGAGAGGTGTCTAATTTTGTTCATCTCACCTCTGTGATCCAATTAAAGTTAAGCAGAAAACAATGGATTCATGGAAAAAAAAAACACATTTTAAAACTATCAGACCCAACATTAGCCCAGGGATCTTAGAGGATAACAAAAGCTACAAAAATATTTTGCCATTAAGCATCTATCAAAGATTCTCAAATGTTGATAGAAAAATATACAAAAAGATCAGACAAATTTTAATTTGTTTGGTTCGTAAATGAAGAAGACACCCTGTCTACTTTTAAGACAAGGTTTAAAAGTTTTCCTTTTTGATAAAGCTTATAGTTAGTTAGTTTAGGTTATACTGAGCTATCTATGTAGTTATGCTGCTTAAGGCTTAGACTGCTGGGGGACATAGGGACCACTTTTCATTATTCTGCCTTATTCCATCTCTATTCTCCCATTCTGCTGCATTTCCTAGTCCAACCCCTGACGTTATTTGTTCCCTTTCATCCATTTGATCAGTGCTTCTATATTCATTTTGCATGTCTGCTTCTTTCTCATTGAATGCCAGTCAGCCTCGGCAGATCAAACTGAGCACTAAAGGTTTACTTCTGTTAAAAGAGATTTTTTT